TACCTTCCATTATCAGAAAGATGATGGCTGACCTCTACTTCGAAAATGCACGCATGGTCTGATGATAACGCCGGATCAGACACTTCATATGTATCTTGGCCTCAGTTGTGGAGCTCAAAATGGTTCATCTACAATTAAGAAAACAATAAAACAAAGATTTTTTTTTTTGTAAGTGAAAAGTTTTGAATATAAAACCTTCTACTTATAATTTTTTGCACCTTACCATCAAGTTCAACTCCACCTCCACCCAATAAAACAAAGAAGATTATTCTTCGCTAATCACACAATGAGGTAACTATGGAGCCAGAGTTTCAGAATTGTTGCATGATGTCGTTCTGAAATAGTGGAGATACAGTGGATATCGTGGCAGACCATAATACAGATATTTAAACTAAAAGAAATGAATAAAGACTAGCTAAAGTGATCAAGACAAGGACGTCACTGCGCTGATTCAGCAAAAATGCATGAGCAATTCCTTTTTATCACGGGAGAACATGCAAAAAAAAAGCAATTTCTCCGTTTTGCTTTCTTTAAGCTGATCACGCGAGGGCGGCGACGAAGACTATTATACATGCGGATGTCGAACCATCATCCATTATTTGACAATCTTGACACTCTAGAGACGCGGATGAAGAGCGCGTTTTCTTGCAACTTTTTACTTCCACCTTTAATATCAACTGCGTGTCCAGAAATCTACATGGCAATTGATGGATATTGAAATACTTAGGAGCTAGCCTCCAATTCTTCATCATTTGGTATCCGATGTAGAATTTAACTTATCCTGGTGAGCTTTATGCTTGGCTGGGCCAGCCTTCATGTTAAAAAATTAGCTTAATTTTTTTAGGTAGATTTCTTGTTTTGGGTGGAAGTAAAGAGTTTCGTAATTATTTTTAGTTACTTGAAGTAGTAGTCAAGGAATTTCCTATTTATATGAGTTTAAGAATAGGAGTTATTCCATATTCTAAATCAGTGTAGGAATTAGTATTGGTTTCCTATTGTTATTTGAGTTTTGACCAAATAATATTCTGTATAAATAGGTAAGTTGACATACTACAAAGAGACACACAAGGAGCACAAAAGGGCAACATGTAGCCTTATACATCGGGGTGAGAGAGGGTTCTTGGGAGATGAGAGATGGTATACAAGGGTTGGATTTGGGATCAAATTGTATTCTTATATAGGGTTTTTCTCTCATAATAAAGAACGGGTTTCTCTCTGTGGACGTAGGTTCAATGGTGGAAGTGAACCACGTTAAATATTGTGTATTGCTTATTTTTCATACTTCGATCTGGCTTGTTTGTTATTAAATTATTGTGTACTTGATATCTCAATAGTTGTGTGTTCCGCGCTTGGATCCTAACACGTCATTCTTGATAAAACTTAACATGTGTAAATGTTCTATTTTGAATTTTAAATCCTGTCTTTCTTGACATTTGGGTTTGAGAGTAGAAAGTTTTGATAATAGGGTTGAAAAAAATGCATAAAACAAGAAAAGAATGGAGTGAATCCATTCAAGCAAAATGAATTGGAATAGTAGTATTACGTTGATTTGTTTGATGGCTTCTAGAAGTATTCTAAGGCTAAATTTTTTTTAAAACAAATGTTTTGTGTCCGGGATTGGTTGATAAGAATCCATTACTGACAGGTGCCGAACCTGTGCAATAATAAATACCTACTCGAGAAAAATACAGATTTTGTATATAGCGGTGAGTAGGGTCGAATCCACAGGGACTGGGGATAATTCGTTTCTTCTAGAGTCCAAAGTATGGGGGGTTTTGGATTAAATGCTAACTAAATAAATTAACTGCAGAAAATAATTAATTAAAAGAAATGATTGGGGAAACTCTAGCCAAGGGTACACATCAGAAATGGTTCATGCACTGATCATTGATGCAGAAATAATTCCAACATTTAGCAGTAGATTAGTTATAGTTGTCATGCACGCGATAAACAACCAACCCTTCCTTAATTTCTCGATAGCTAAGGTACGACCGTTAGCTATTTTTCTAACCCAAAAATAACCCTAGGTACGACCGTAAGATTTAATTTCTAGATTGCATTAATAATTAGAAAGGCCCAATCCTAACCAACAAACACGCTACGAGGGTTTGTTTAAATTAGATCATATGCTCCCCTGACATAAACCCAATTACGCCAGTTGCTACTGAGGTAGAGATAACGAACAATTACGGATTCAATTACCCATATTTAGCAAAAATAGCCTATATGAATAATTAATTATTGCGCACTAATCAATCATACACAAGGCCATAGCAATTAAAATCAAGGAACATATAAATACCAATAAATGAAGAAAATAATTAAAACAGATTCGATCTCACAGTAATTGTCGAACCAAATCGTCAGTTGTCCCCTTGACTAGAATTGAGAGGTTAGTCCTCCATTAATGGAGAACAACCATGCGGAAGAATAAAAACTAAACTATGCTCCAAAAAAAAGGTCCCCCTAGCCTTTCTTACGATTGTCCTTATATAGCCAAAGAAAATGACTAAAGCTATCTATCCAGTGGTCCCCACGAATAAAGAACAAAAACAACTCTCAAACTCCCTACGTTTCTTTCCTTCCAAAGCTGAAAATGACTCAATGCTTTCCCGTGGTCCCCGCCGCAGATTCCAAATCAAAGTACAAAAGGCAATGCCTCTTGATGTTTCCTCCTCTTTTTCGTCTTTCATTGCTCTTAGGACTCTTAAGTACTCAAGACACTCCCAATTAGCAAAAGAAATGCAGTCCACGTATATCACCATGTGGGCCAAGTCTGTGGCTTATTTGAAGTCTCAATTATTTCCAAAAAGTCCCTCAATTTTGTAGTTTTCTGC